ATATATGAATGTATATATGATTGTATAGATTAAGTTAATTAGATTTAAGTTATAGGATTAAGATATAGGTTAAGGTAGAATGTAAATGGAGGTATAAAGGTTTGGGACCGCTCTTTTAAACAAGAAAAAAGCGCCTTGTAATCTCTAGTTGAAGAAACAATAAACATATCTATCTATCTATCTATCTATTATTCCAATTTTATAGCATAATGGGTGGTTTGAATAAAATGATAAAATTCTTCCTGAGAAGATTTCTTTTAGATACCAGTCAATGTATATTGTGTTACGAAAGTCACTATTTATATTTCGGGAATTGGCAACACTGATGTCATGTGAGTCTATCTGACGGTTCCATCGTAAAGTTTGACATTTTTGACGATATACGTACTCAGAACATTTTGTCATACGGACGCTATTTGTTTATTTTATATTTAGTTGAAAGTTTTGTCTCGGCAAAAAATGGAACTGAATCGTGAACATTTTCGTGCGATGATTTTTTACGACTTTCGACGTGGATTATCACAACAAGAGTGCGTCAATCAACTTAATTTGACTTTTGGCGATGAAGCTCCATCAAAAACCACTGTGTATCGCTGGTATAGTGAATTCAATCGTGGTCGTAGTTCGCTGTTCGACGAGTTTCGTGAAGGTCGTCCAAAATCGACTGTAGTGCCAGAAAACATCGATGCTGTGCACGAAATGATTAAGCAAGATCGTCATGTAACCTATTGTGAGATTGAGGCATCCCTAAGCATTAGTTCCACCAGCATATATGCGATTTTACATAAACACTTAGCTGTGCGAAAATTATGTTCGCGTTGGATCCCACATAATTTGACAATCGCTCAAAAAAAAGGCTCGTGTCGATTGGCGCAAAGAAATGCTTAAGAAATACAATCGCGGTGCTTCAAAAGACGTTTATAAAATCGTGACAGGTGACGAATCATGGATATATTCGTATGAGCCCGAAAGTAAGCAGCAGTCGACTGTATGGGTGTTCCAAGATGAACCAAATCCAACAAAAGTTGTTCGCGCACGAAGCAATTCAAAGAAAATGGTGCCTGTTTCTTCGGAAAAACTGGTCATATTGCAACAGTGCCTCTAGAGGATCGTAGAACAGTAAATTCTGAGTGGTACACAACCATCTGTTTGCCAGAAATCTTCGGTGAAATAAGGAAAACAAACAAGAGACGTCGGATTGTTTTTCATCATGACAATGCGAGCTCTCACACATCGGCTCAAACAAGAGACTATTTGAGCACTCAAAACATCGAATTGATGGGTCATCCGCCGTACAGCCCTGATTTGGCACCCAATGATTTCTTTTTGTTCCCATCTGTGAAGAATAAACTGCGTGGTCAACGATTTTCATCGCCCGAAGAAGCTATTGAAGCGTTCAAAAATCATATTTTGGAGATACCTCATTCGGAATAGAAATGCTTTGAAAATTGGTTTAAGCGCATGCAAAAGTGTATCGATCATCGTGGCGAGTACTTTGAAAAACAATAAAAATATATTCGCAACTTAACTATTTGTTTTTGTTCCTATTCCCGAAATATAAATAGTGACTCTCGTATTAATAATTTTAAGTAATAAATCTAAGAAATTCAAGCTACGATTAACCTCTTGTTCCACCGTGAATTTAAGTCTATCATGATAATTATTAGAATTATTAACTATCTGAGTCATATTAGTCATAGAAGTGGCCAGTATTATGTCATCTACATAACGGAAATAAAACAAACATTTTAAATTTAACGTTTTAAGAACTGTATCCTCAAGATCATGCATAACCAAGTCAGCTATAATTGGTGATAAGGAAGACCCCATAGAGGTCCCAAAAGTCTGTTTGTAAATTGTCATTAAATGTAAAATAAGTAAAAGTCAATATAAATTTTATACCACGTAAAAATTTGCTTTTCGGTATTGTAGTATTTATTTCAATGTGATCTTGTGCACAACGGATAGCGGGAAAGGAAGATCGGAAGCGAGACTAAAGATAGGCACTACACACTACTCGACACACACGCGTATCGTTAATAAAAATATATTTCAACTATTAACAAAAAATACAATTGTTTAACCGCACATAATTTACCAAAAGATAGCCGAGTCGAACGTATTAGAAATGAATGCAATAAACGAGAGAAAAGCCGGGTCAAAAATAAATTACTGAATGTTCCGCAAGCAACGGTAATTAGACGAGAAAACCGAAAAAGACAAGCGATTTTTTTCGGAAAGTAGAAGCACACTCTATTCGCGACGAGCAATCGAAAAGAGCCCCGCGGTCACGAGAGAGGAGGTTTATATAGGCCTGTATTTCGAGAACCTTCGCGAACATTTTTCCTTGTTCGATCGAGATGTTAAGGGCGAAAGGATGTTTACGATAATTATTTATTTTTTAGCAAGTCTTATTTTGTTGTTATTGGCACTTGGTTTTTCTCCTCTCGCGCGACCGCGATGTTTACGATTTAAATGAAAGTTAACGCAAGCGCTTCTTTTTTGCAGGCGCGAGGTATATGTAAACGTTTCGATTGTACGACAGTCTTTTTCAATATCATGCTAATATGTCAATGAATTTAGTTTAGTCATATCGACCTTATTATAAATACAACATTTATGAGATTATCATATGACGAACGCAGTACAAAATTCATGTTTGTTGGCTTGAGTTAGAGCGTCAGATTTATGTATGCCATGCTGTTATATTATGTAACGACACTGTGAACAAATTAATATATCCGCTCAAATATTACATTTTAGATTTTTAATAAATAGTATTAACTTACTTTTTTGTCACGAACATAACACTTTTTTTAAAAAATTATTTCTTTTTACATAACATAATCACAATGTGTACTTTTTTAACAAACAAATCGATATCTGTATCTCACAATGTCGGCGCGCTGTATATATACCCAATTTTTAAGATGACGTAGACAATTTTTTTAAAATATCAAAATAAGAACCGTCAAAACGCTCGGTGTCCTTTTTTAGGTTGATACTGTTGTTTTCTTCTTTAATATATATCATTTCTGATATCAACCTTTTATAATAATTCTTTTCATAATCTAGGATTTTTGTGTCGTTCCAATTGAAATTGTGTGTAAATTTTACAATATGATCAGAAACCACCGAGTGCCTTGCAGAATCTAATCTAATATTATTTTTATGTTTATTTACTCTTGTACCTAATTGTCTTTTCGTCTGTCCTACATATGTAGCATCACAATTATTACACGATATCTTATATATGACCCCCGAATTATTTTGGAGCTTATCCCTGTCTTTTTGCGTTTTTATGACTCTGTTTAATTTCTTTAGACATCTGTATCCTACTGTTATATTTGATTTCTTTAATTCTGATGCTACTAGTTCCGAGATTCTTTCAATATATGGTATCGCTATGAATTTTTATTTTTGTCGTTATTTATGATTTCGTTATTTATATCTTGAGTCATTTCTTTGTTTAATCTATTAACAATAAGGAACTTCAGTCTATTATTGATTTCTGAGAAAATGAGATCAAGAGGATAACTATTGCTCAATAAAATCTCTATGATTAATGTTAAATTTTTACTATGAAAACGGGGATGTGATAATAATATTGACCAGTCTACTAAATTATATATTACACTTTTTTTGTGGCATAATTTGGGATAATTTGAATGATATGAGAGTGTTCTACCCGAAAATGTTTTTTTCTGAAATTAATCTATATATATTATTATATGTTATTTATAATTTTGAGTGAGATATCTAAAAAACTTATGCTACGGTTATCCTCTCTTTCTATTGTAAATTTTAATCTATCGTGACAATCATTAAATTTTTCTACTAAATATGTGACTTGATCTTCCGGCAAGCAAAGCAAGATATCATCGACGTAGCGATAGTAAAACCTTATATTAACATTTATAGTTTCAAGAATCCTAGTTTCTATATCTTGCATGACAATATCCGCAATAATTGGAGATAAAGGCGATCCCATAGGAGTTCCATGTATTTGTTTATAGATTGTTTTGTTGAATGTGAAGTACGTTGAAGTCAAAATGAATTTAATTACATTAACAAACTCAATTTTGTCTATTGATGTGTGGTTTTCAATGTAATGCCATCTATTATTTATGCTGTCTATTGCAAGGTCCAAAGGAACATTTGTGAACAACGATATCACATCCAAAGATACGATTGTTTCATTATTATTTAATTTAAGATCAGACAATGCGTTGCACAATTCAAAACTATTATTAACATGACTTTCCCTTTGGGTAAACTTGTCACTAAAATGTTGTGTAAATATGCAGTTAAATGATGTAGTGCTGTATTGACCGACGATACTATTACTCTGAATGGAACATTTTCCTTGTGAATTTTGGGCAAGCCATATGCTTTAAGAAGCACTGAATCACTGGAACTTAAACAATAATAGTCTTTTTTTGTGATCTATTCATTTTTTAACCATTGTTATAAATTTTTATTAAGGTCTTTTTCTATTTTATTATTGGATTGTTTTTGATTGTCATATAATTATCTTTGTCATTTAATAATTCTTCAACTTTGTCTATATAAAATTCTTTGGTCATCGATTTCCCTTGTCTGATCTTGTGAAAATGATGCTGGGATTTTGTTTACAAAATGTCATGGTTTTTTTTGTACATAAAAGTAAGTTTGTCATTTATTATGTCTTTCCTAGTATTGTTGTTTAAAAAAACAAAGAACTGTGGAATAGCTATGTTTCTTATTGTCGTGAGATTAGTTATGTTATTCGAATTGCTTTCTATGTCTTTAATAAATTTATGGACAGCTGTTTTTTTATCAGTATTAATTGGAAGGCTAAATCACTACCTAATTGCAATAAATTTGTGACATCAGTTGGAATATCTACATCAGTCAAATTAATAAACCATTTATCATTGGTTTTTAAAGTAGGCTAATTGCTTACGACGTGTGATTTCGATTCGAGTGAGGTTTCGGTGCCGTCGGTCAAAAATACTAACTTGCTTACGGGTCGCGTCAAATTAGTATTTGCGGTACGTAGTTCGACCACGCGCACGTGGCCGTCGGATCCCGGGTGCAATCGCGTGATGCGCGCGAGCGGCCACCTCGTTGGTGGAGTATTCTCGCTTCGAAGCAAACACAGCCGACCGATGCAAGCCTCCTGATTGACTCGGGACCATTTTGGCCAGTGGGCCAGCGTATGTAAGTACTCGCTGGACCACCGGGACCAAAAATGGTCCCTCATCTGTTGCAGGAGCTGCCAGCAAGATAATCGGGCCGAAGGTTTTCTCTCGAGCGACGGTTCCGGTACGGCGGAGAGAGCGGAACCGATTAGGAAGTGTCCCGGGGTGAGAGCCGCTACGTCTTCAGGATCATCGGACAGGGGCTGCAGCGGTCGAGAATTGAGGCAAGCCTCAATCTGTGAGAGCAGCGTCGCCATCTCCTCATAGGTGAGATGGGCATCACCTATTACTCGTCGCAGATGGTGTTTCATGGACTTCACCGCGGCTTCCCACAAACCGCCGAAGTTCGGTGCCGCCGGTGGATTAAAATGCCACCGGATTTTCTCCTGTGCGGTGAATGCGGCGATGCGGCGTCCGTCGGCACTGGCAGCGGAGAAGAGAGCGCCTAGCTGCCTGTCAGCACCCACGAAATTGGTTCCGCAGTCGCTGTACAATGAGATGCAGACCCCACGCCTGGAGATCAGCCGGCACAAGGCCGCGATGAAGGCGTCGGCGGAGTAATCCGAGGCTACGTCGAGGTAAACGATTCTAGAGGCTAAACAGACAAAAACGACAATGAAACCTTTCGTTGCCTTGTGTCCGCGACCCTTAGAGGTTCTCATCCAAACTGGTCCGGCGTAGTCGATGCCGGTGTGGAGAAACGGCCTGCTTGGTTTGACCCTTGGCTCCGGGAGGTCGCCCATGAGAGGCTGTGGGATGGCGGCTCGCCATCTTATGCACCTGACACATCGGCTGATGCGTCTCTTTACCAGCGAGCGACCTCGAGGAACCCAATATTCCTGACGTAAAGAGCACAAGGTCAGCTGCGTCCCGCTGTGTAGAGTCCGCTGGTGGTGGTCATCGACGACGAGGTTAGTGAATGTAGACTCGCTGGGCAGTATTAGCGGATGAGTGGCATCATACGGCAGGTCAGCGTTGCTGAGGCGCCCGCCGACGCGTAGAAGTCCCTCGCTGTCCAGAAATGGATTTAGTTTTAGCAGGGCGCTTCGCGACGGCAGCGGCGTTCCATTTCGCAACCGTCTAATCTCTTCTTTAAACTTTCCAGCCTGGATCAATCTCACCCAGGAGAGGCGGGCTTCCGTCAGGTCGTCGGCGCTGATTACGTTAGACTGGCTTTGAGTGTGACAAAGCTGGCGGTGGATCAGCCACCAGCGACGGCACCATGCAGTGATCCGCAGCAGTCTGGTCAGAGAAGAATAGCGCAGCAGCAATTCTGACTCGGGTTCCAGCTCGGCAACGGCGGCGGCGTGGGCCCGGACTCGTCTCTCTGGGAGGTCCTCCGCTGGAATCTCCTCTCCATTGTTTATTCACGGGCTGCTCTCCGTTGCTAACCATTCCGGACCTTGTCACCAGAGCGGGTGGTCAACCAGCTCACCAGGATATAGTCCCCGAGAAGCACAGTCCGCTGGATTTTCTCGTCCTGGTACGTGATGCCAGTGGGCATCAGGGATCAGCGTTTGTATCTCGCTGACCCGGTTGGCCACATAGGTGGCCCACGTCGATGGATGTCCTCGGATCCAGCCGAGCGTGACTGTGGAATCCGACCATGTGAAGAGGTGCCCTTTCAGCTCCAATGATCGGCAAGGTGTGGGCGACGAGACGAGCCAGAAGAGTCGCTGCAGATAGCTCCAGTCGAGGTAATGATACCTGCTTCAATGGCGCGACCTTGGTTTTGGCGGCTAAGAGAGTCACCTTAGTAATGCCCTTTGTTTTGCTCTTCAGGTAGATCACTGCGGAGTAGGCACGCTCGGAGGCATCGGCGAATCCGTGGATTTCCAGCATTGATTCAGTCACACCTCCCAGCCATCGAGGTACGATCACTTTTTCCAGAGCTGGCAGCTCGCTCTGGAATCGCAACCATCTTCTCGCTTCGTCGGTAGGTAGCGAAGCGTCCCAATCCAGACCTAGCAACCAGATAGACTGGATGAAGATTTCTGCTAATATCGTTGTTGGTGCCAGCCAGCCAAGAAAGTCGAACATTTTCGCTGTCAACAAAAGTACCGACCGTTTGCTGAAGGTCGATAGTGTGATCGCTTTGGTAGCGAATGCGAAGAGATCGTCACGTGGTTGCCATCTTAGACCGAGAATAGAGTGACTCTCGCCGGGCAGCCACCATCTAGCCTTTTGTTGAAGACGGTCGTCGGGCTCCACTTGGTTTAGCAACAGCGAATGGTTTGCCGACCATTTCTTAAGCGAGAAGCCGCCCGCCCTGCAGATCTCCATCAGCTGTTGGATCATGACCTCGGCTTCTTTCATGGTCTCCGCGCCTGCCAGGATGTCGTCCATGTAGACGTCGCTCAGCAGGATGAGAGCTCCCTTCGGGTAGCGATGTCCCTCATCCTCGGCAAGTTGGCGCAAAGTACGGATCGCCAGATAAGCAGCACAGGAAAGTCCGTAAGTAACGGTACTTAGCCAGTACTCCTTGACTTCGTCGTTGCTGCTCTCTCTCCATAATATCCTTTGCAGACTTTGTTCGTCGGGGTGCACAAGGATCTGCCTTTTTTTTTTTTTGTTACTTTGGGGAAACCTCATGGTACCATCCGCCTCCGGGTAGAGGCGGGGGTTATGTGGGACTCCCTGCCCCGCCTGGCCGGCCCGCACCTCCGCCTGGCCGGTCCGCCGTAGCGGGCCGGAGAGTCGGGATCGGCGAACCGGAGAACCGGGACAGGACCTACCGCACTAAAACCCCAGAGGATGTCCTTCACGGGCGTTATACAGGGGACGGCCAGGATGCTGGTATCCCATGCCGACTGGCCGCCCCCCCGCCTTATCCCTCCTTGGGAGGATGCCGCGGAAGGCGACACCCTCCCCCCGTCATTGTACGGGTTCCTCGCGGTTGCGGCGCAGGGCGACACCGACCCCACGCCGCGCCCTCTCAAAGAGTTTGAGGGGCGGAGCCATGGCTCGAGAACTCCCGCTCGAGCCATCGCCCCTCGCCCCCCAGTGTCGCAACCCCCGGACCCCCAAGAGGGTGGCCCGGTTCGGCGGTTCACTGAGGGGGCCCTCATCAGGAGGCTTCTCTCAGAAAGAGAGAAACCCCCTTCCGTGGACGGTGTTGCCCTCCCACCGGTGCCTTATGGCTCCCGGTGAGAGGGCCCCCACACGTCACGTCTCCGTCCTTGAGAGGGGCCCAGGCGCCCCAAACGGGAGAGCAATGCCCGCCCGCCAGGGACACGTGGCCCCCCCTCATTTCTGACCCCTCCGGTTGCGACCTCCCTCCGCCCCGTTAGGGGTCAGAGTTCACCCGCAACCGGTGGGCCCTTCCCTCCCGGAGGGTGTGGGGGGGGGAGGGGAACGCCTAAGCGCTCCCATGTCTCCCCGACACCCTCATCTGGCGTCGATCGTCGACGCCGGTATGTGGCGGGCTCCCCGACCCTCACCGCCGCGACCAGCTGCGCCCGTGGGCGCGACAGCCAGCGACGGAAGGGAGCGGGACGGCACGCCTCCTATTTTCGACCCCGCCGGAGGTGCCGTCAGGCACCCCGGTCCCCCGAGTCGGTGCCTGGCCGGCCGTCGGAAGTCCACGCAAAGCGGACACCTAAGGCCGGACAGGCACCCCACCTCCTTGTGGCCAGGGGAGCCGCAGCGGTAGCAGCGGCTACTCCTGTCCACCGCCGAGGTGCATTGGCGCCATGTGTGCCCAACACACAGGCACCGGTAGCACCTCGGCGCCCCCATCACATTTGCGACGGTCGCCCTGTCGACCGTTCGCACACCGCTGCTGCCATCCTCAGCGGTCTCCGTCCTCTCTCTCCTCCTCCTTGTTCCAACCCCCCTTCCCACCACCTTCGCCCACTCCTCGCGAGCTCCGGTGGTGGTGGTCGCCCTCCCCACGCTCTCCGTCCCCGTCCCCGTCTCGTCCGTAACGTTGGTCACGTCAGTCTCCGTCCCTTCCTCCACCTCCATTTCTGTCACCGTCTCTGCTCTCCCCCCCCCAAAGGCCCCCCTGGCCACCTTCGCCCGGCCGGGAACCCCCTCCTTGAGGCGTCTCTCGATCAACTCGAGCCGGTCCGAGTTGGCCGCCAGTCTCAAGGACATGTCCTCGAGCCTGGCTACCAACTCCCCCGGCAAAGGAGTCTTCTCGACAGGCGCCTCATTCACCTCAGTCTGACTCCCCCGGTCGCAGAGTTCCCCTCCACGATCGGGGGCCGCGTTCCCTCCGGACCGGACGCACGCCATCCGTGCAAGGCTTGAGATGGCCTGCCCGAACCCACACGCCCGGCTCACCACTGACTCCACGTAGGCATCCACGTAGATCGTCAGTCCCGCCATTCTCTCCTCCATTACGCTCCGGATGCAGTATTCAAGGAAGGCCCTTGCGTCCTCCCTTACTCCATCCAGCTCCTTCGCGGACCAGCGAAGAATCTCCGCAGCGGGGGTCTCGGCATAGGCCTTGGCCTCGTCCCACAACGGAGGAAACTCCTCCCAGCCCAGGTCCGGCAGTATTTCCGCCGGCCCTACGCCGTTCGGAGTCCGATCCGCCTCTCCTGGAATCCGTGGTTCCAGCTCCATTGGAACCACCGGTTTCCCTTCCTCTTACCCGCACCCGTCGTTCGATAACGACGGAGTGGGGGCCGGGTTGATACCCCCCTCTTCGCCGGGCCCTGGGGCATCCGAAACCCCTGGGCCGGTACGCTTTTTCGTTTTATTGCTGCGCCCCATCATGTATATTTGGTCTTTTTTAACCTGGTGACCGTCCAGGGGTGGCGGGTCGAAACCCTGTGGCCCCACCAAGCCATAAGTACCTCCGCAGGAGGTACCGACCACTCTTAGCACCCCTCGCAAGGCTATTCCCTTGCGAGGGGTGAGCCCCCCCACCACGGCAAGGTGGTGGTCGACGGGGGGGTGCCCCTCCACCACGGCAAGGTGGACAAGGATCTGCCTGTACATCTTCTCGATGTCAGTCGCGAAGACGTAGCAATGGCGTCGCCAACTCAGTAGGATGTCGGCCAGAGAAGGTAGTAGATTCGGTCCCGTTGCTAGATATCTGTTGAGGGAGTCTCTGTTTGGCAAGGAGCTCGAGCCGTTGAAGACTACCCTCAGTTTTGTGGAGATGCTGTCAGGACGCAGGACCCCGTGATGCGGTAGATAGCAAGCTCCAGGACGCGTGGTAGTCGAAGGCGGAGCAGGCATCATGTAGCGCAGGTCTAAGTACTGTTGCATGAATTTGACATACATGCCTCTGAACTCGCTCTCTCGATCAAACTTCTTCTCTGTATGTTGCAGAGCCCGGCGGGCGGCGCGGATTGTTCCAGAGAGATCCGGCAGAGATTCCGTCGTGGGCAGGCGCACGACGTACCGGCCGTCGGCGTTGCGTGTGTGGTACTGACGATAGTGCTCTTCGCACTCCCGCTCGACCTTGGTGAAGAGCTGAGACGGCTGTCGAACCTCTTCCTGCTCCCAAAAGCGACGTACCAAACAGGTGAGGTCTTCCTCCACTTGGCAATGGTGGGAGGACATACGTTGGCAGCGTGTATTCTCGTTGATGGCTTCTGAGAGTATCCAGCCTAGCGAAGTTTGCTGTGCCACCGGTTCCTGAGGACCTCCCTTTTTCAGACCCTGGCGGATGATTAATCCGTAGACGTCGGCGCCCAGCAGAAGGTCTACTGGATCAGCGGAATGGAATTCTGGATCGGCGAGCTCCAGATCCCTGAGATGTGTCCAGGATTGCAGGCTTCGGCGGCATCCTCCGGAGAATAGAGTCAGCTTCGGCAAAATCAAGGCGGAGACGGAGTTGGACGTCTCACCGTTGAGCGCTCGAAAGGTGAGCTTGACCTTGCCCTTGGCCATTCCCGTCCTTTTCTTGCCGAGTCCATAGACGCTGACGGCGGCAGACGTGCGAGGCAGTCGCAGTCGCTGAACCAACCCCTCCGAAATTATGGTCGTCTCTGAGCCCTGGTCGATCAGAGCTCGGGCGGGATGCCATGATCCGTGACGATCGAGGACGCGGACTCGAGCAGTGGCGAGCAGCACAGTGACAGAGGCGAAGGGCTGTCCTTGAGCCACGTGTGATGTCGTAGCGGTCTCGGCGTCGCGGAAGGCGTCGTGCAGAGAAGAAGTGGTGCCGACTGCCACACGTCATACAGGTCTTTTTTGACGCGCACTCAGTCAGCTGGTGGCGCCCCAGGCAGTTAGAACAGAGGTTCTGTTCGCTTACAAACTGCCTGCGCGCTGTAGCCGTCTTCTCTTTATAGCTGCTGCAAAACATTATAAAGTGGTCCCCCTGGCAACCGGCGCACCGACTTTTGGACCTGTCTTTCGGCTCACAAGGGGACACTACACCCAGTACATCAAGAATCAGGATGCCAATTTTTTTGGTGATTCTAGAGGTCAAAAAAAGGTATACGTGTTTCGGCGTTTTGTCGAATGCTCCGTAGTTTTCGAGTAAAAAATTTTTAAAAAATCGAAAAGTGCAGCAGCGATTAAGAGCTAACTCGTAGGTCG